CCCTCTACTCCCCCCCCCCTTACCGAGTTAATGCAGAAAACAAACATTTTACTAGGGAATGATGTAATACAGAGAATGACTTACCCTAAAGTGACCCTGCTGCAATTTATTCCAAACTTCTGGATGTGTGGAATACCTGCTCCCCCATCACAAACACTTTTTTTTTTCTCCTCCTGACATATATGTCACTACAGGGCGTACAAACCTGCAGGTGTAACCATTGCTTGCATTAGGGAAAACCGGTATTTGAATAATTTAATACCTGTGTCAGAGCAGAGGCAGGGTTTCAACAAACGGGTCACCAGAAAAGTAACTTTTTAGAGCCTAGTTTATTCCAGGTATGTAATTCTTTATAAGTGACCCTGTGCTGACAATGTTGCTTCAATCCGCAGTCTTTGTCCTCGCTGGTCCTGGTTTGGCGACCCTCCAAGATGTTCTTGCTGGCTTCCAATTGGTCATGCGACCAGCTCGCTCTCAGTGACATCATCATTTACAATGCACGATCAGCAGCTACTGCTGGTCTTGCATGATACGTGATGACATAGGAGTGCTGTTGCACATTTTGGTGCAGGAGAGTGGAGGAATAAGCTGCCGGTTGCTGCAGGACAGTTGGTTAGGTAAGTAATCCCTTAGTAAAACTAAAATAACTTTCTGAATCAGTTGGGATGGGACGGGAACGACACTTACATACATATACATATGTATATATGTATATGTATGTATGTGTGTAAGTTTAAAGGGGACCTAAACCCTCCGTTTTTTTTGCCTATATCTACTGCTAGCAAGCAGTAGATATAGGCAAAACGTGTTTTTTTTTTAAAACAGCGGTTTAAACTTCCCTAGTTATCGCTGCGCGCTCCTGCCCGAGAATCCGAAACTGCTCAGATCGCCGCAATGCATCTTGGCATCATGGTAAGTCTATGGACGCGTGTACCCGCATGCAGACACGCGGGATCGGAAGTGCCTGCAGGGACAGAGGAGTCAGCGCTGGATCGGAGAGCCGTCGCACCGCTGGAGGGACAGATGAAAACATCAGGAAAGAAGATCGGGGGGGGGGGGGGGGGGGGTGTGTGACTTTAAAGAAAAGCATTTCTTTGAAAAGCCAAAAAGTTTCCATATGGATAGCTGGCATCTTAATACATTGGCTATCTTGTTAGGTTACCATCAGTAGTTTTTGGAAACTGTTAAGTATATGCACCTCCACTCTTGAGAACATTTCACTTTTTTGGCTTCTTATCTGAGTACAGCAGATCAGACCTTCAGAGCTGCGCCTTTTCTGATGCAGACCTTGCCAACAGTATATGATAAGGACCATTGCTGATGATGCAGGAATTTTGAAGCATTTAACATTTTTAATTTGTTTGTCACACGATCAACAATACCAATATCTCCTATATCCTTGGATGTGTGCATATGCAAAAAAATGTATATATATGTATACGGTGTGTTCATACTTTGATATAAAGTGGAGGCTATAGTAGTCTAATGATAAATACTGAAGTATGTTTTATTAAAGCACATCTAAACCCAAAACCACAAATTGAATGTTTTGCATCTTGCCATTCCAGCCTAAAAAATAAAAACTAATCCAACTACCACATTTAAGAACAATTTTAGCAAGTATAGAAAGTACCTGTTACCCTGCCTGAAATGCAGTGTCATTGTCACTTTCTATGAGCTTTGAAGACTGCAAAAACAAAATGAATAATCCCATCAATCCATCCTGTAATGCAGTTGAACAAAAGTAGCCATGTTCAAAGTCCTGCCTGTGTTTATAGCCATGGATGCCCCCATAGATAAAGTGGTGGAGAAATTAGTGATACCCAGAGATGCAATGTCAAGCAGCAGTTTCTAAAGCAAGCAAAATACATTCTTGTATTAAAAGAGGGGTCTAGACTCCAGAGATAGAGACATAATCCTGCCCCTGTACAAAGCAGTAGTAAGACCATCTGGAATATGCAGTTCAGTTTTGGGCACCAGTTCACATAAAGGATGTTGTGGAACTGGAGAAAGTGCAGTGAATGGCGACTAAACTCATAAGAGGCATGGAGGAGCTCGGCTATGAGGAACGATTACCTGACCTGAATTTGTTCTCTCTGGAGAAGAGGCGATTTAAGGGGGGGACATGATCACCATGTATGAATACATAAATGGTCCATATAAAGAGCTTGGTGCCAAATTATTCACGTTAAGGTCACTGCAAAGGACAAGGGGGCACTCTTTGCGTCTGGAGGAAAAGAGGTTTAACCTTTGCATACGGAAAGGATTCTTCACAGTTAGAGCTGTAAAAATGTGGAATAGACTCCCCCAGGAGCTAGTTCTAGCTAGCTTGGTTAATTGTTTAAAAAAACATCTGGATGTATTCCTAAATGCACAGAATATTACTGGATATTGAGTTCTTATAGGTATATTAGGCATTGGAGATTGTTGATCCAGGGAATATCCGATTGCCTTGTGGGATCAGGAAGGAATTTCCCCCCCCCCTGTTGGAGCAAATTAAACCGTGCTTTATAGGGGTTTTTTTTGCCTTCCTCTGGATCAACAGGGTAGCTGTGGGCATAGCTTTCTGTTTAGTCTTTTTTTTTCTTTTTTTTCCTCTCCGTATCTAGCATTTCTTTGAAAAGCCAAAAAGTTTCCATATGGATAGCTGGCATCTTAATACATTGGCTATCTTGTTAGGTTACCATCAGTAGTTTTTGGAAACTGTTAAGTATATGCACCTCCACTCTTGAGAACATTTCACTTTTTTGGCTTCTTATCTGAGTACAGCAGATCAGACCTTCAGAGCTGCGCCTTTTCTGATGCAGACCTTGCCAACAGTATATGATAAGGACCATTGCTGATGATGCAGGAATTTTGAAGCATTTAACATTTTTAATTTGTTTGTCACACGATCAACAATACCAATATCTCCTATATCCTTGGATGTGTGCATATGCAAAAAAATGTATATATATGTATACGGTGTGTTCATACTTTGATATAAAGTGGAGGCTATAGTAGTCTAATGATAAATACTGAAGTATGTTTTATTAAAGCACATCTAAACCCAAAACCACAAATTGAATGTTTTGCATCTTGCCATTCCAGCCTAAAAAATAAAAACTAATCCAACTACCACATTTAAGAACAATTTTAGCAAGTATAGAAAGTACCTGTTACCCTGCCTGAAATGCAGTGTCATTGTCACTTTCTATGAGCTTTGAAGACTGCAAAAACAAAATGAATAATCCCATCAATCCATCCTGTAATGCAGTTGAACAAAAGTAGCCATGTTCAAAGTCCTGCCTGTGTTTATAGCCATGGATGCCCCCATAGATAAAGTGGTGGAGAAATTAGTGATACCCAGAGATGCAATGTCAAGCAGCAGTTTCTAAAGCAAGCAAAATACATTCTTGTATTAAAAGAGGGGTCTAGACTCCAGAGATAGAGACATAATCCTGCCCCTGTACAAAGCAGTAGTAAGACCATCTGGAATATGCAGTTCAGTTTTGGGCACCAGTTCACATAAAGGATGTTGTGGAACTGGAGAAAGTGCAGTGAATGGCGACTAAACTCATAAGAGGCATGGAGGAGCTCGGCTATGAGGAACGATTACCTGACCTGAATTTGTTCTCTCTGGAGAAGAGGCGATTTAAGGGGGGGACATGATCACCATGTATGAATACATAAATGGTCCATATAAAGAGCTTGGTGCCAAATTATTCACGTTAAGGTCACTGCAAAGGACAAGGGGGCACTCTTTGCGTCTGGAGGAAAAGAGGTTTAACCTTTGCATACGGAAAGGATTCTTCACAGTTAGAGCTGTAAAAATGTGGAATAGACTCCCCCAGGAGCTAGTTCTAGCTAGCTTGGTTAATTGTTTAAAAAAACATCTGGATGTATTCCTAAATGCACAGAATATTACTGGATATTGAGTTCTTATAGGTATATTAGGCATTGGAGATTGTTGATCCAGGGAATATCCGATTGCCTTGTGGGATCAGGAAGGAATTTCCCCCCCCCCTGTTGGAGCAAATTAAACCGTGCTTTATAGGGGTTTTTTTTGCCTTCCTCTGGATCAACAGGGTAGCTGTGGGCATAGCTTTCTGTTTAGTCTTTTTTTTTCTTTTTTTTCCTCTCCGTATCTCTATGGGTTGGATTTGATGGACTTGTGTCTTTTTTCAACCTGATTAACTATGTAGAGAGCAAGTATGCAATTTGCACAGTTGCCAGGTGAAAATAAAGGGAACAAAGCTTAAACAAATTGAAGTTTTTGCTATTGGATATTCTTTTATTTATATTTAACTGTTTAGCGCTTTGGCATATTTTATAGAATATTTTTTTTTTCTTCTTCTCTGGTAAATGTAGTTTTCAGGAAAAGGTTGGTATTAAAAGCATAACTGATTACAGCAAAGGATCTGAAAGGGAACTATCCTGTTGTAGGGCTGCTTTAAAGTAGTATTAAGGTCTGGGCGTTTTTTTTTTTTACCTTGATGCATTCTCTGTATTAGAGTAACCCCCCCCCCCCCTCCACGCTTACCACCGCTCCCAAAGCAATCCTCTGTCCCACTGAACTTCCTGTTTGTGGGTAGAGGATACTGATGGCAGAGGAACCATAGGTTCCTTCTGCCATCAATTAAACTGTTGGGGCGGAGAGGAGGGGCTGTTTGTGTTTATAGACGCACACCTACTGTGGGCATGGCTTGGAACCAGCACGCACGGTGCCTGGAAGGGGGGAGGGACAGCACTGCGGGGGGGATCCACTAGAAAAGGAGGATTAGTACACATTAAAATACAAAATACAGCAGTTTTATACAAAGCCTAGTAGTAAATATTAAAAACAAAACAAAGCTTTACTATCAAAATTGTTGACAAAAAAATGTGTTTCTTTTTGTTGTTGCAGGTAGCCTAGTAGGAAGTGTACAGGGTGGAGAGAAATATGATATTATATAATTATGTGCGAAGTGTACTGAACTGTAAAGGCTTGACCAGTTTTTTTCCTTTTTATCCTTTGGTAGCTTATACAATGAAGAGAGGAATTTACTTCGAATCCGAGAACGAGAGAGACGAAATCAGGAGATTCTTCAAGAGAGACATCCATTCAGTGATAATGCTCCTCTTTTTCCAGAGCCTTACAAGGTATTTGTGTGCACAGTCTGACCATTTATTTTGGTTGAATCAGAGTGCTAGATAACAATAGTATTGAAATGCAGGCATTTTTCTGGTCTCTATTTTGAAAAATCCTGTGTTCCTTTTGGAACGTTTTGGATCCTAAGCCTAGCCTGTAAATTCCAGATTGGGACCCACCTCCTGTTGACATTAGGCCATCTACACCATTCATCTGTCAAATACCAACGAATGTCTGACATTTGCCAGTTGAATGTCACGGCTTCATATCAGGGGTGGCGCTTATTTTTTACTTGGGCTGAAGTTGAGGCCCCACATAAAACTTTGGTGTAGGGTCCAAGTGTCTGATTGTGCCAAATTTACTTGAAGTTTGTAGCATGCTGGAAAATCACCTTCTGGGTTAAAAAAGAGAATCAAACCTTTAACGGCAAAGAGAGGGAATCATTATGTGACAACTTTTTGAACCTATAACGTTGTTATATTTAGAGTGTTTGTTTTCTTCACTACAAGTAAAATCGATGGGGAATTAAATTGACTTTTAACATTATTTTCTTATTACATATTTACATTTTTTTGGGTGTTTTTCTGTTTTTTTTTTTTTTTAGACAAGTAAAGGGGACGAATTGTCAAGTCGTATACAGAGCATGCTGGGAAATTATGAAGAGGTTTATGAAGAAGTAAAGGAACTGATTGGCGTAAAGTCCCACCAGAATCCCATTAGTATCCCTTCAAGTGCTTTACCAATCTCTTCGCAACTTAAATCTGACAAGCAGCACTCTTTTCACAGCGCTACAAGTAGGTCTTTGGGTCCTCCAAAGTCTTCTAATATGTCCTTGGGGTCCAGGCAGAGGCCTTGTGCAGGTTCTGACCTATCCTCTAATGAACTGAGAAAAAGCCACAGCCAAAGTCGTGGGAGCCTTCAGAATAGCACTGTTCAGGAACAGCACACTGGTGCCATCTGTATGGAGAGAAACCTCAAGCAAACCCAAGAAAGTAGCTCTGCTACACTTTTATCCTCCCCTTTCTCCATCTCAGCCCTTTCACCTCTACTGTCCTCCTTGTCTCCTCCAGTTGAGCCATTGTCCCCATTACATTCCAGCTATCAAGTTGATTCCAAGCCGCGATGCGGCCAAAGCCATGAGAAATCTCACCACCATGCCACAAAATCCCCAGTTCTAAATGACACAGGTAACAGAGAAGGTACTGCTACTGTTGCTAACTTGGTGGCTTCCTCACAAACTTTCCCAAAATATTTAACGAATAGTACATTGCCCCCAAAACCCACTGCTTATGTAAGGCCCATGGATGGTCCAGATCAAGTCCCTACTCATTCTCCAGAACTAAAACCGCTGCAAGAGGATTACCATGAGGAGTCATATAGAAATCATGTAAATCTAAAACCTAATGGCAAGGATAGGTTTTCCAAACCAGCATCTGAACCATACGAGGTAAGTCTTTCAATAACTCTTACAAACATGCAGTGGTAACTCTACTGTTTTGAGCCTGTTTACAAATATTGGACGTCAGGCACTGAAATCAACTTCAGGAATCCTATTTATTAAATGATGTTGTGCTTACTGTGCATGTATCCAGTTTATTCTATGAAAAATGTTTATATGTTTACCTGCAGAAAGCCTTGTTTGCCTGTCTGCAGGTAAATGAAGTTAACAGTGCAATGTTCTAATACTGTGTCTATGTACTAGGGATGCACCGATATATCGGCCGCCGAAACATATCGGCCGAAAATGGCACTTTTGGCATAATGCCGAAAGAGCTATGTTTCGGCTGATACATCGGCGCATGCCTGGTTTCTTTTCTCCTCGCTGGGCGCTGTTCCAGCGGGGTGAAAAGAAAGTGACAGCCGGGCCGAGCGTTGCGGTGGAGAGCGCTGTGAGCGGCCGGCGTCTCCTCCCACACCGCTCTGCCGCCTATCACAGTCCAGTCTGACAGGTCCTTTTTATTGGGTGCAGTCACACTCACAATATCGTTCAGCATCCAGTGGTGTCACACCTCTCATTTTCTGCTAGGTTGAGCTCCAAAATGTTTACCAGTAGGGATGCGCACCGATGCTAGTATTGGTGTCGGAGCCGTTACTGAGTATTTGGGCGAGTACGAGTGCGCACCCAAATGCTCTGATACTTATCCCGATACCAGAACTTCCGGTCAGATAGAGAAATTTACTCAATCGAGAAGTTGGGCCGCGGGTGGTGACTGGCGGACCACCTTTCTAAATGGCTGGGAAGCCGGCTCCATGCTGTTTGGCTGGGAAGCCGGCTTTCTGGCCAATCAGCATCAAGCTGGCCAAACAGCACGGAGGTAATGACACGCTGCCCGTCTTCCTGATTGCCCGGGAAGCCGGCTCCATGCTACCAGAAGTACCGGTCTCGGCTAGTACTGAAAGATCTATCTGTACTCGATAACAAAAAAAAGGTACTGGTGCATCCGTAGGAGATAAAACTTTAGGCTGGGAAAAGAATGGGGTGAAATAGTCATTGGAACCATTCAAACAAATTAATTTAGTGGGGTTGTAATTTTTAAATAAGCCTAATTATGAATAATGTTTAATCCCTTCCCCTTCAACTTTCTTTTGATTAACCTTTGGGAGAGCATGGTTATTTACCATAAGTAAGTGAGTAAATCGATTTAACACCAAGTCGAATCTATTTATGAATTCCCTCTCCATACTAGTTCTGTTCTAAGGCTGGCCATACACTGCTCTATTTATTCGTTCACCCCATGGGCTAAATGAAAAAAATAGAGCAGATTCCTCCAATGCTATGAAAGCACTGATTCGAGGAATCCCCGCTGTTTGTTTTGTATTCTGACAGCGGCCGGCAGCCACTGTCTGAATACCTGAACAGATCCGGCAGCTCATTGGCTGCCTGCTCTGTTCGTACGAAGATTTTCTGACCGGCTCCTTTTGATCAGCTGATTGACTGTGTGAATTTTGTGCGACGAAATTCGCACAGTGTATGGGCAGCTTTAATCTTTCCTGATTTACTTTTTGTAAAAAAAACCATAAGAAAATGGAAAATGCTGCATATTACATACAAAATTCTAAGGAATGTATTGTGTATATTAAATGTTATTTGTAACAAATTACAGCTAGTGAGACAGATTCAACTCTTCAATCCCTCTTTTGTAGCACTGTGCATGGGCCATAAGTCTGGCCACTCAGAATTAATGTTTCAAATTTAGTATATGACGTGGGTTTAACAGAATTATGTCGGAATTGGTTAGCAAGTCTATTTGCATGTGTCTTCATATCTGCCACAATCTCTGGTGCAAAATGGAGAGAAAAATGCCCCTTTTTGTAGAGGAGAAATACTTAAAAAATGGACTGCAACAGAAACCAATGTGGTTTGTTGCTTCTGTTGCTGAAAGTTGCGAGAAGCCAAAAGATAACCCTACTGGTGGCTTCAGAAAAATGCAAGCTTGATGAAGCCAAGCATATATTAACACCCAGAAACTTGCCAGACCATTAATATCAACAATCTTCCCATATTTTTTTATTAGAGCTGCAACAACTAATCGATTTTAAATCGATTGAGAATAGTTGGAAACTATTCTCACCATTGATGAGAGAGAGAGATTTTTTTTTTTATACAACCAATCGATTAGTTGAAAAAATGATCAGTCAACTAATCGATTATGAAAATAATCGTTAGCTGCATCCCTAAATTTTCTTGGTGCATTTAAGTTGTTTTTTTAAGCATATTTTTTGCCTGGAAAAATCTTCCTTGTGTAGAGTGCTGCAATGTCAGCAGCCCCAGCAGACTGAGCTCGAACTTATGTGACACTCAATATTATTCCCTTTTGCGCCTCCCTTACAGCTGCATAAAAAGGTATTGTAACAAGGTAAGGATAGAGAGGGAGATGGAGGAGTTTGGCCAGCACAGAGCATAAATGGACACTCCCAAGAAGAGAAGTGGCCTGGAACACTGAAGGAGACGGGTTGTGCTAGGGAATCTCCCTTTTTTTTTCCCCCCTGCATTTTGTTTTTAAATTTGGCAACAGTCTCTTTTAAGCTATGTAGAAAATACAAGAAGCTGCTGAAAGTGGCCAGGGTTGGGGTGATTCATTTCATAGTTGAAGATACATTTTAGGTTTTTCGTATGTATAGATTTGTCTTTGGATTTTGCTGAACCTCTACATATCAGTACTGCTTGGACCTAGAAGAAGACCCCCTGCAAAACATGAGGGTATATGAAATCTTATTGCATAATCTAGTACATTTAAATTCGTATGTACCATTTGTCAAAAATGGTTAATGCTCTAGCTGGACATATGGTTGTGATCTGCAACACAAATGTACTTTCAGTGTTTGTTTTAACCTCTCAATAATTTACTGACGTCTGAAGTTGAAAATGTTGTGAGGTTTCCAAGTTAGAACTTGGCAATGGGAACATTTTGTTTAGCTTTCCTGTTTGATGAAGCACATGTATCATTTTTAAACCTTTTATTATAATGCCATGGACAGAAATATGGAAAATTTGTATATGGAGCACCTACAGCTGAAGGTAGCATATGCTCATACATTTTAGTCAAATGTGATCAGGTCAATGCTTTCAATTTTATGCCAATAAGGGTTTAGGGCCAATAAAGGTGAAGGGGGAGAAAATATATATTTATGTATAGAGCGGGGTAGCCAAATGAATATGAATTTCAGGAGTCATTCTGTCCAATCCTGGAGCCAGTGCCATTGACAACAACTGGAGAAAATGTTAAAAGTTAGGTGCTAGCTGTAAATTCTAACCTAGACCTGTGACAATGAGACTGTCGCAGGTCGGCTCAGTAGATCGGGAAGTGAGCGAACACTCCTCGATCCTGTCACAGCTCTCTGCTGTGACAGGGGAGTGGCTGGGTTCCCCCCTCCCCGCTCTGATCCTCCAGCGCTGACTGGCGGAACGGACGGGGCGGGTACAGCTGGCTCTGCCTCTAGATAGGCAGAGCCAGCTGTCACTCACGCAGCTGGGCGGATCCAGGCACAATTGTCGGGATCCGCTTCAGCTGCGACGTCTCAGTATCCCGCGAGCTGCAGCTCGCGGTATACTGAGCTTAGGGCAGGGGTAGCCAACCTCCGGCCCTCCAGCTGTGGTGGAACTACAAATTCCATTAGGCATTGCAAGATTCTCACAGACATGACTCCAGGAGACAGATCATGGGATGTGTAGTTTCAACACAGCTGGAGGGCCGGAGTTTGGCTACCCCTGGCTTAGGGTGACGGGAGGACGCTAGTTTGTGTCCTCCCGTTACCCTAACGAGAACTATGGTGAAAAGCCCTAACCTCATAGTTCTCCTTTTTAAGTGTCAATAACCATGCTGTCAAATATGCCATATAGCCACGTACTGTATATCATAGCTTGTGACTTTTTTTCTGATCCTTTTTATGTGAGTGACTCACTGACTGAGTCCTCATGACCAAGTGCGTCACTAATGATAGTCCTAGGTTCTGAAGATTTGTATTTATTTTCTAGTAATGCCAAACCTTTTCATAAAACCTAGCCCAATTACCAACCAGAGGCTTTAATACTCTGCTAACTGAGCATTTAGCATTTTTGCAGAGTAAATATAAATGTCTCATTGCAATAATCTGAAAAATTAGGTAATTTTTTAACAAAACTTGTTCATAATCAGTGACGTGGAGAAAAAAAACACCCCATTGATATGCAGGATTTGCTAGGAAAAGGGTTTAATAATCCGCTGCTGTTTGAGCAGATCTCTTTGGCATCAGTTTGTAATTGTTGGCATTAAAGGATTGGCAACATATGGTATGTTGTTTTTCTAATTTATGTATTTTTTGTACTTTTAGTTTTGCAAGTGTGATGGCTTCATACATATCTGCAAATTATTATGCAACTCGTTTGTGGTCAGTGCACATTGTTGCCAATGTTGTATTCATCAGCGTATTGCAACATACCGCAGTGCTCCCGTGACTTCAAAGACAGGCAGATACCTCCCCTTATTGTGTTCTCGGAGAGATATCTGCCTGTCTCTGGCAAAATATGTTGGGAAAAAGGAAAAGGCATAACCATTTTGGATCACTACCAAGCAATAGGAAGAGGAGGTTGACTGAGCACAAATAGCTGTCTCTTTAGATATATATAAGAAGAGTTTCTTGTTAAATGGATTAACGCTTAATGATGAGATTATTTGCATTAAAGTAAATCTGTGTTGTGCCCATGCAGGACAAAGCAACCTTTTTGATTTCAGGAACAATCATACCACTGCTCTGCAAAAACGCATGTAACATGGGTTGGTGTGCTGCACTGTCATTGATCGCATGGCACCTTTTCGGACTGGGCTAGTGTAATGAGCGGTGTGCCTCAAGGATCTGTGCTGGGTCCCATATTGTTCAACCTATTCATTAATGACATCGGGGAGTGAATAAATAGCCATGTTTCCGTGTTTGCAGACGATACAAAAATATACAAAAAAAGAAACGGAT